TTTGGAGGGCCACTGTCACGCAGAGTTTAGCTCCAACCCTAATAAAACTCTCCTGCCTTTATCTTTCTAATAATCCTGAGTAATTTGGATGCAGTATTATTAGTTTTATTTTATAAAGGTGTTTATCCCACTTTGTGATCTCACTAACTCTGAGTTTCTGTATGAGACTCTGGAATGACATGAGGGTGAATAATTAATGACAGAATTTTAATTTTTGGGTGAAGTAACCCTTTAATGTGTTCTTTCTCGTATGCCACATTGTTCAGATTTGAAAGGGAAGTGCAAAAGGCATTAGAGCATGAGCTGAACTTTACTCGCATTTGTCACATCGCTCACGATTTCTACTATAACTGTACATGCATCAGAGTTATTGTTTTTGCTGCAAATTGCACTGTTTGAATGTCCATTTCTTCACATTAATTCTTGGTTGCAGAATAATGATGACAATAAACTTATATGCCCTCCTTCATATGAGGACTTCATGGAAACTAAATTCAATTAATGATCTTAAAACTCTGAGAAAATCTGTGAAGAATAATTTTTTTATTCAAACAGGCAAAATTTGACATGATTTTGTGATAGCTTTGTGTAATATGTGAGGTTTGCTGTTTTTAATTTCTCCTCCAGAAACACAAGTTGATCTTTGCTCAACTTTGTCATATCACCAATGGTCATTGTTTCTTGTGTATCTTAAATCTATATGCAATCGAAATTCACATGGATCTCAGAACTTGCTTATGATAAATGATATTATTTTATATAATATTTATCATGTTTGCTGTTATCTGTTTGTCCTACAGAGGCATTTAAAGGAGACACTGAGAAAACTCCAGCAGAGAATCCAGCAGAGACAGAAAGATCTTGAGCAGCTGAGAGAGGCTGTGGAGTCTCATAAGGTGAGTTTGGAGAAGAAGAGAAGTTTGAGACTCAGTTTGACTCTCCTCTTTCAGTCCCACTGAAGCCACTGTGAGGAAGCAGTAAGAGCTGATTGTGATGTGTGTCTAACAGCGCTCTGCACAGACAGCAGTGGAGGACAGTGAGAGGATCTTTACTGAGCTCATCCGCTCCATTGAGAGAAGCCGCTCTGAGGTGACACAGCGGATCAGAGATCAGGAAAAGACTGCAGTGAGTCGAGCTGAAGGACAAATGGAGCGACTGGAGCAGGAGATTGAAGATCTGAAGAAGAGAAACTCTGAGCTGGAGAAGCTTTCACACACAGACGATCACATACATTTCCTCCAGGTAACAGAGATCTAGAAAAAAAAACACATAGTAGACTTTAATTTCTGCTGTTACAGAAATTATATTCTTTAATTAAACCACACAGTTTGACTGAGGATACAAGTAGATTCTGTTCATGGGAATGTTATATTGTGATGTTGTGGTCTTTACCATGAAAAACTGGTTTCAATCAGGTACATTGCAGTAATGAGGTGACCTAATGAAATATGTGACCCTGGAGCACTAAAGCAGTCTTAAGTCGCTGGGGTATATTTGTAGCAATAGCCAACAATACATTGTATGAGTCAAAATTATATTTTTTTCTTTTATGCCAAAAATCATTAGGATATTAAGTAAAGATCATGTTCCATGAAGATATTTAGTAAATTTCCTACCGTAAATATATCAAAACTTCATTTTTGATTAGTAATATGCATTGCCAAGAACTTCAATTTAAAGGCGATATTTCTCAATATTTAGATTTTTTTGCACCCTCAGATTCCAGATTTTCAAATAGTTGTATCTCAAATATTGTCCTAACAAACCATACATCAGTGCAAAGCTTATTTATTTAGCTTTCATATGATGTATGAATCTCATAATTTCAAAAAAGTGACCTATATGACTGGTTTTGTGGTCCACGGTCCCATAATAATAATAATAATAATAATAATAATAATAATAGAGACTATTATCCATTATAACATGCACAACTTTATTTGCCAGATTATTAATCATTAATATCATGGTCTTAATTATAGTTTAAAAGTCTCCTCGTCAGTTGGTTTAATAATTGTTATTCCTGCAGAGTCTTCAGTCTCTCTCAGCTCCTCCTGAAGCTACAGAAAACATCTCTGTCAGTTTCCTCTATTCTTTTGATGGTGTGAGAGAATCTGTCTGTCAGCTGAGACACAAACTGGAGGATTTCTGCAAAGAGGAGATGAAAAAGATATCTGGTAAAATATTAGAGATTCATCTGCTCTCTGTAATGAGACAAACATCATCTAATATCATAAAGAAAATGTTAGAAATGTCTAAGGAATAGATACAGGTATCATTTTCTCTCTGAGTGTTTATATCTGCTATTTTCACAGTCACTCACAGTAACATTGTTCCCAGGACCAGAGAGGACTTCCTACAATGTAAGCCACTAACAAACACAATGACACACACTTTTAGTTCTGTTTGACAGAAGTGGTAGATACATTCATACTGCTGTTTACTTTTAATTACTAATTTTTTTTTTCTTTCTAAGGTTGTAATCAGATTACTTTATTAATAATATTTAATACTAATTTAATAATTAACACCCATTTAACAAATAAAAAATGTGATGCCCAATAGTTCATCCATCTCCACAGCAGCATTTCAACAACCAATCCTGTACATTTCTAAAACTGCAACTTGATATGTTTGTCTGTTCTGTCCATATATCTACAGCTTTCTGTGCTTGTGTGTCAATTGTAGGCCTACATGTGAATGTGTTTGCATTTGTGTTTATGTAAAAGAAAAAAGAACGCATAACCAAACAGAATGAATCTATTTTTGATAAAAGCACGTTTTTTCAATCTGGGCAAAGAGTTTTTACAGTTCAGCTACACAAAAAGATAAAAAGGGATTTGGCTTAAATTTGAAAGAAAGTTGGGATAAACATGAAAGTAAGTTGAGAGAAGGACAATCTGGACATGAAACACTCCAGATGCAAACTTTCAATGTGAGAATAACAGTTTTTGAAGTGAATTCATGAACATCATGCCACAACTCTGATAGATCGAAACAATCTTTAAAAATAAATAAATAAGGATAGATACGATATAAATAAGATAGAAGCTTAACTTTTACAACTCCTGATTAGTGTTTTTTCTTTTCATCGGATTCCCATCAGTTCACTCTGGATCCAAACACTGCACATGAACGTCTCCGTCTGTCTGAAGGGAACAGAGCGGTGACTTACACTGACACACCTCAGCTGTATCCTGATCATCCAGACAGATTTGATGGTTATCTTCAGGTGTTGTGTAGAGAGAGTGTGAGTGGACGCTGTTACTGGGAGCTTGAGTGGAGTGGTGTGTATATATCAGTGTCATATAAGAGCATCAGCAGGAGGGGACGGGGTGTTGAGTGTTTGTTTGGATATAATGATCAGTCCTGGAGTTTGCACTGCACTCCCTCCAGATACTCATTCAGACACGATAAGATGCAGACTCGTCTCCCTGTCAAGTCCATCAGCAGTAGAATAGGAGTGTTTGTGGATCACAGTGCAAGAACTCTGTCCTTCTACAGCGTCTCTGACACAATGAGCCTCATGCACACAGTCCAGACCACATTCACTCAGCCGCTCTATCCTGGGTTTAATGTTTGGGGTCGACAATCATCAGCAAAGCTATTATAACTATCTAGATTACAGAGAGATCTACACATTGTACTTTTATATGGCAACTCTGAGATGCTTGGTAAATCTGAATATTTATATTTCATGTGTATTCATTCACCACGCACTTTTATCCAAAGTGGCTCACAAAAGAGAAACAGTGAAATGTTGTAGGTCTTTTATTTTCTAATGTTTAAAGGGGTCATGACATGAGAAATCAAATCGGCTTTGATCTTTTGTCATGTAAGGGGTCTTTGTACCATTAAAACACCCTGCAAGTTTCATAGCTTAAAACGTCCTCCTCATCAAACAAAGCATTTATTTAATCAAGCTCCAAAAACGGCTCGTTTTGGAACTGAGGGGCAAGATGATGTCACCTGGGCACAAAGATTTGCATAAACCCCGCCTCCAGAGCAAAACACTCACATGTGATAGCGAGGGGGCGCTGATACTGTTTCCTGTGCAATGATGTCATAACAGTGGGCGGATACTGACAAGCCTTAAAGGACCCGCCCCTTAAAACAGGTCGCTTTAGACAGAGGGTCAGAATAAGGGTTGAAAATGATAAATGATTTTTGTGCAAAAAACTTTATTAACACTATAAGCAAACCTCAAGGTACATATTGAAATAAAAAAATTAAAAATCCATGTCATGACCCCTTTAAAACAAAACTGCAGCTGAACTTCTGTCACTGTCACTGACAGTAACATAAATTATACAATACTATAACTGAGTGAATACTTTTTCATCAGATTAATCTAATATTTATTGTAAACTTGGTAAAATTCTTTGTCTATGGAAAAATGGTTAAAATATAATTCTATAACCAAATTCACTATTTTAATTATTCAGGAGTCCCAACTGAGTCTTAAAAACAAAGTGTTACAGTTTTTCTCGATTGCTAAAACACTATAACCAGGCTTTTGAACTAACATTTCAAAACCAAAACGCCATTTTTCAAAAAGCACACCCATTTTGCTGAACTATAAGCACTAGCGTTCAATACTGTTCACTCAAGTCAGCACAGCTTGAACTCAATTAGCAAACAATTACCCAGGTGGAAACACTAAGGGTCAAAATTGAACACACATCAATCAGATCCTTCAATAAATAGATAAAAGGGCCCAAATCAGTTCATTGAGCTTTGGAACAATGGATGCACAGAGAAATGAAGGAATAGGTCGAGGAGGAAGAGGAGGACGACGTGGTGAAGGAGGAGGGAGAGGAAGAGGACGTGGTGAAGGAGGAGGAAGAGGACGTGGAGGAGGAGGGCAAGGAGACAAGCAGTCTCGGATGAAATTCGAGCCACTTTAGTTGACCATGTCCTTGTCTGATTCTAGGACCCTATAACACTATGCTCCTCCTTGCTTTCCTTGACGGTCTAAGAGAGCATATGTTCCAGCTGGACCAGAGGGGACCAGCACAGACAGAGCAGCCTCGTTACATTGTTGTTTGGGATAATGTCAGCTTCCATCGCGCTGCTCTGGTTCGTGACTGGTTTACCAATAACCCGAGGTTTTCTAACATCTTTCTGCCTGCATACTCTCCCTTTCTAAACCCGATTTTTTGGCATAGCGGTGGAAAGTGTATGACCGAGAACCTTATATCCATGCTCGCCTCCTCCAGGCCATGGAAGAAGCCTGCCTAGACATATCAGTAGATGCATGCCAGGGGTGGATCAGGCATGCAAGAGGATTTTACCCTCACTGCCTATGACCGAGAACCTTATATCCGTGCTCACCTCCTCCAGGCCATGGAAGAAGCCTGCCTAGACATATCAGTAGATGCATGCCAGGGGTGGATCAGGCATGCAAGAGGATTTTACCCTCGCTGCCTGGGCTAGGGCCAATGTCATACTATGTTGTAGTGTTTTTGAATGCTTGTGTGTGATGTCTGAGGGAAAAGTTTGGTTTTTCAGCAAGAGTGAAGGGTTTTGAGTGTAGAGCTTCATTTTGACCTGAAAATAGGATGTTTGGGGAATTGGGTGAGACGTTATGGATTTGTGTTTACTGTTTTGAGAATACGAGGCATAGTTTCAAGAAATGTGTTTAAGCAATCGAGAAAAACTGTAATCTTATCACCCAAACTCAGTTAAATTGATGAAGATACACCAAAAAATCTTGGCCAAAAGATGAAATGTACTTTCATAATCCTGTAGGAAGGGATCTGATACAGCTGTGCTCTAATTACACAAAAGAGGACCTTTAATAAGGTGGACTCAACATTGAAATACAGTGGAAATCTGCATTTTAATTATTTTTTAAATCTCGATGATGATCCAGAGAAATTGGGTGCATCTGAACTAACTTCAGTCAAAGCAATAAAACGTAACCCCGAGACCCTGCATCCTCATATGAGGACATTATATTTTAGTAAATGGGGCATAATGAAAGAGTAATACAAATGTACAAACTGCTCATTCTCAAAAAGACCAATCAAATTTCTCACAAACTGTGGGACAGACGAGGACTAAACTCTATCACATTTCTGCTTCAGTATTTACACTGTGAGTGTTTTGTGTGTTCAGAGATCTTGTTTGTTGTGCTACAGAAGCCCCTGTCGCTTCAGATCCTCATAAGTCTTCTTGTTGACCACGTTTCCGCTGGAGTCTTCATATTCCTCCTGCAAGATAACATGTATAGATATTGTCTTTCTTTCTGAACTCATAAACATCCAGTCTTTTTTCAGAGGGTTTTCCCGCTTGAAAACCTCACTAATCTCTCTCCAACAAGGAACAAATCAAGCAGCCGAAGCAGAGTTTGAACAGCTGATTAACGCTGGTTAAACCAGATGCTTCAGTCAGAGCAGAGCTGTACAGCTGAATGTGACTTCACTCAGCGTAATGTCAGACTATTGAATGTGTTTGAGAATAACTCACCTCTGTGTCTGGCTGCCAGCGCTCTAATGCTTTCTGTGACTTCAGCTTTGACCAGACTATTCCAGAGAAAAGAGAAAAATGCATTTTAAGCACAAGAACAGATACCATTAGGGCCATTTTCCAGAACGGGACCCTTTTGTGTCATTTATTAACATGCATCAATATTAATTTATAGGCATTTTTCTCAACTTTTAAATGGTTTAAAATGGTAGTTTGTCTTTCTATACATTTTCAATACATTTCTATACAATACATTCTGTAAAGCTCAATGATATATGTTGTGTTCCATGCAACAATCTTGTCTTTTTTTCCCCATTTATTAAAATGTGTTCTCCTTTTATCATAGACAATTAAAATTTGTCAGGGGGTCAATTATAAACCCCCTTATTTATTATTATTATTTTTTAATTAAATTATTACTGAAAATAGATATTGGTAAAAAAAAATAATAATAATTGGTCAGGGGGTCAATTATAATCCCCCTTATTTATTTATTTATTTTATTAAATGATTACTGAAAATAGATATTGGTAAAAAAAAAAGATCTTTTTGAAGTCTGGATGTCCTGTACGGAGCACATTCAGGGCTTTTCAGAAATGTTCTGATGTTTCACCATCACCACTCCCTTCCCTTGCTCTTCAGAAATGTCTGATATTAATTTAGTGACACTCTTAAGGAAATATGATCATATTTTGTAATCATTTAAATCTGACTAATGTTTAAACTGTGTCATAAATCAACATCTCAGGAAAATGTTATAAAAAGATCTTTATCTCCAACAAATACCAAATAGTGTCCTGAATTTGAGCAGAAGGCTAGTAATGTCAAACTACAACAAAACTGTTAATCTTGTTAGCAATTAAATAACAGCATGACTGGAGATGGAAGAATGCTTTTTAATCATTTATTAACACTAATTCATCCTATACATTGCATGAATTGGGTGATTTATGTACAACCCGAATTCCGGAAATATTGGGACGTTTTTAAAATTTGAATAAAATGAAAACTAAAAGACTTTCAAAATCACATGAGCCAACATTTTATTCACAGTAGAACATAGAGAACATAAATGTTTAAACTGAGAAATGTTACAATTTTATGCACAAAATGAGCTAATTTCAGATTTGATGCCTGCTACAGGTCTCAAAATAGTTGGGACGGGGGCATGTTTACCATGGTGTAGCAATCTCTCTTTTCAAAACAGTTTAAAGACGTCTGGGCTTCGAGGTTATGAGTTTCTGGAGTTTTGGTGTTGGAATTTGGTTCCATTCTTGCCTGATATAGGTTTCCAGCTGCTGAAGAGTTCGTGGTCATCTTTGACGTATTTTTTGTTTATTGATGTGCCAAATGTTCTCTATACATAGTTGAGAATTATCTTTATACAAAGTTTGGTACAAAAAAAAAATCCTGAAAACTAAAAATGTATTGGTGATTAAAACAAAATCTATTGTTTTTGACTATGCATGTTCATTCATGTCTTTTTATATTTAAAAAATTTGAGTCCCGATGTCCTCTACCATGGACGTAGCATAACTTATGAATGAAATATCATTTAAATTTTTTTTTTTAATGCTCTAAAACAGGGGTCTCCAAACTCGGTCCTGGAGGGCCGGTGTCCTGCAGAGTTAGCTCCAACCCTAATCAAACACACCTGAAGCAGCTAATCAAGGTCTTACTAGGTATACTTGAAACTTTCAGGCAGGTGTGTTGAGGCAAGTTGGAATAGCTGCAGTATGTGGTTTTGCATTGTCCTGCTGAAATACACATCTTCTGGAGGGGAGCATATGTTGCTCAAAAACCTTTATATAGCTTTCAGCATTAATAGTGCCTTCCAAAGCATGCAAGCTGCCCATACCGTATGCACTTATGCACCCCCATACCATCAGAGATGCTGGCTTTCAGGGACGTGCACGGACATTTTGAGGGGCAGGGGCTCAAGTGGAAAAAATGGCACTTCTCATATTTATTTTAATTTTTTTTCTAATCAAAAAGGAGTGTGCGATATTGACAAAAAATATATCTCACTATTTTCTGGGATTTTATTGGTAACGATAATTAGATGATATTTGAAGCAGCTAATCAAGGTCTTACTAGGTATACTTGAAACTTTCAGGCAGGTGTTTTGAGGCAAGTTGGAGCTAAACTCTGCAGGACACCGGGCCTCCAGGACCGAGTTTGGTGACTCCTGCTCTAAAAAATGTAATGACATGAAAAAATACTAATTCTTTCCTAAAATGTTTTGCCGGGTCTTAAGAGGTTAATAATTCTTATGTCAATGTGATACTGTTTTTCAGTTTGTTTTGTCTTTCTTTCTTTCACTACATTTGCAGTTATCACATCTGATTTCTCTGTCATTATGATGTATGGAGTGTAGATTGATGTGAATGAAAAATAAAGGATTTTAGCATTAGGCTGCAACATCAAATGTTGGGAAAAATGAAGGAGTCTGAATAATTTTAGTACAGTGACAGATGCCTACTGAAGTAAAACCATCTCACTATTTGATTTTATTGTACAGCAGGTTTAAAAAGTCTCCAGACTGGTTAAAAACAGCATGCTGCACAAGCAAACATTTTTCACACGATGTACTAAAATGTATCGATTAATGAAAGTCTCTGTTTAATAATTAAGACAGCAAATGCAAAAATGGGGCATAATGAAAGAGTAATACAAATGTACAAACTGCTCATTCTCAAAAAGACCAATCAAATTTCTCACAAACTGTGGGACAGACGAGGACTAAACTCTATCACATTTCTGCTTCAGTATTTACACTGTGAGTGTTTTGTGTGTTCAGAGATCTTGTTTGTTGTGCTACAGAAGCCCCTGTCGCTTCAGATCCTCATAAGTCTTCTTGTTGACCACGTTTCCGCTGGAGTCTTCATATTCCTCCTGCAAGATAACATGTATAGATATTGTCTTTCTTTCTGAACTCATAAACATCCAGTCTTTTTTCAGAGGGTTTTCCCGCTTGAAAACCTCACTAATCACTAATCTCTCTCCAACAAGGAACAAATCAAGCAGCCGAAGCAGAGTTTGAACAGCTGATTAACGCTGGTTAAACCAGATGCTTCAGTCAGAGCAGAGCTGTACAGCTGAATGTGACTTCACTCAGCGTAATGTCAGACTATTGAATGTGTTTGAGAATAACTCACCTCTGTGTCTGGCTGCCAGCGCTCTAATGCTTTCTGTGACTTCAGCTTTGACCAGACTATTCCAGAGAAAAGAGAAAAATGCATTTTAAGCACAAGAACAGATACCATTAGGGCCATTTTCCAGAACGGGACCCTTTTGTGTCATTTATTAACATGCATCAATATTAATTTATAGGCATTTTTTTTAACTTTTCAATGGTTTAAAATGGTAGTTTGTCTTTCTATATATTTTCAATACATTCTGTAAAGCTCAATGATATATGTTGTGTTCCATGCAACAATCTTGTCTTTTTCCCCCATTTATTAAAATGTGTTCTTTTATCAAGGACAATTAAAATTTGTCAGGGGACAATTATAAACCCCGTTATTTTTTTAATTAAACGATTACTGAAAATAGATATTTGTAAAAAAAAAAAAGTATCTGTATCTCCAACAAATACCAAATAGTGTCCTGAATTTGAGCAGAAGGCTAGTAATGTCAAACTACAACAAAACTGTTAATCTTGTTAGCAATTAAATAACAGCATGACTGGAGATGGAAGAATGCTTTTTAATCATTTATTAACACTAATTCATCCTATACATTGCATGAATTGGGTGATTTATGTACAACCCGAATTCCGGAAATATTGGGACGTTTTTAAAATTTGAATAAAATGAAAACTAAAAGACTTTCAAAATCACATGAGCCAACATTTTATTCACAGTAGAACATAGAGAACATAAATGTTTAAACTGAGAAATGTTACAATTTTATGCACAAAATGAGCTAATTTCAGATTTGATGCCTGCTACAGGTCTCAAAATAGTTGGGACGGGGGCATGTTTACCATGGTGTAGCAATCTCTCTTTTCAAAACAGTTTAAAGACGTCTGGGCTTCGAGGTTATGAGTTTCTGGAGTTTTGGTGTTGGAATTTGGTTCCATTCTTGCCTGATATAGGTTTCCAGCTGCTGAAGAGTTCGTGGTCATCTTTGACGTATTTTTTGTTTATTGATGTGCCAAATGTTCTCTATACGTGAAAGATCTGGACTGCAGGCAGGCCAATTCAGCACCCGGACTCTTCTACTACGAAGCCATGCTGTTGTAATAGCTGCAGTATGTGGTTTTGCATTGTCCTGCTGAAATACACAAGGCCTTCCCTGAAATAGACGTCGTCTGGAGGGGAGCATATGTTGCTCTAAAACCTTTATATACCTTTTTAGCATTCATGAGCTCATTTAGTGGATAAAAGTGTAAAACTTCTCAGCTTAAACATTTGTTATGTTCTCTATGTTTTATTGTGAATAAAATATTGGCTCATGTGATTTGAAAGTCTTTTAGTTTTATATACAGTGGGTACGGAAAGTATTCAGACCCCCTTCAATTTTTCTCTCTTTGTTATATTGCAGCCATTTGCTAAAATCATTTAAGTTAATTTTTTTTCCTCATTAATGTA